AATATTACATTAATACCACCTATTCTCTATTTTTATAACAAAATCACCACTCCGTTAACAGCGTCTTCACTCCATTTTTTTTTCATTCCTGCCTGTGATTTTCGCGAGAGAACTGGTTTCAGCGATACCTTTCTCTGAGCTGTTCTTCCAACTTTGCTGCTGTTCTATGCGAGCAAACATCATTTCCGCCTGTGCTTTTCATGGAGACTGGTGAGGTTTTTTTTTTCATTTCCGCCTGTGCTTTTCACGAAGAACTGGTGAGGTTTTTTTTTCATTTCCTCAGGGAGTTTGTCTTTGACTTGATCTTCATCTTAAATGCTGGCATTTGTGCTATTAAGGACAGGTAGGCAAAATTTATTCAAGGAACGATAGCTGTAGAAAAATTAGAAAAAAAATCTTCATCATTTAGGTTATAATGGAGCAGAGAAATGGTGATACAACCGTAATGAGAGAAATCACTAGCAGTTTTTTTTTTGTCATTTCCGCCTGTGCTTTTCATGGAGAATTGGTGAGGTTTTTTTTATTTATTTCCGCCTGTGCTTTTCTAACGAAAATGGACGGGGACTGAGCGAAGCATTTGACGGAGTGGTATTTTTGTTATGAGAATAGTATTTAGGTGGTATTAATGTAATATTTAAGAATTAGGTGTTAAATATGTAATATGTATGTTATAAAGTGGTATGTATGTAAAAATCCCAAAAAAGTATTAGAAAAAACTACTTTGAATGTTGTTGTTTGATTCTATACAAAGTGTGAAATATATACATAGACTTCTCCAAAAGTCCTTAAATGATAACAAAAGAAAACTATTTATAAACAAAGAAAAAAAAGTCCCCAAGAGGGGCTGGCGGCTTAAAGAAAAAGAAAAGGCACGCATATTGCAATCTAAGAGCCATAAATAGTGCTAATCTAATGTTAGAACCCCTAATTCATGTGCTCGAGAATTTCTATCAAGATTGGCTGACTTTTGAATCGCATGATCATTCAACAAAAAAAATTATTGACAAGTCTTTGTAAATAACAAATTCTTAACACCTAATTCATGATCTAAAAGTCAATGTGAAGTTGCAATATGTTAAAAAATAAATAAATAAATAATCCGATAAAGCTCCTCCAATGCAAGTCTTGGGAGAAGCAATGATGCATGCAGCCTTTGACATCACAAAGAACCTTTTCACCTAACTCAAACTCAGGAACATAAAGTTATAATGGAGGCAACTTAACCATTGCTCTAGGCTTTCCCTCAATGACTCAATATAAAGAATCTGATAGGAAGTTGATGCACTTTTCCTCAAAATCAGCGAAGGAAAATAAAAATTAGGAAGAAAAACACACCAAATCTATTTTTATTACAAGATATATAAAAGAAAATAGCAATATACAGTTGGATTTTCAATTCGAGAGGAAGATCCGGCTCTTCCAAATCCCTAGCTTCTGGCTAGAGCCCAAATAACCTAAGAAATTCTAATTTCAGCAAACTCCAAATATAATTTGAAATCACCCCATAGTTATCCTTAAATAGGCTCCCGTAATTCCTCCCAAATCAGCCCATTTTCCCTATATAAATTCCTCTCATATTTGAATTCAATTTAGATATATTTTCATAATTAATTCCCTCCCTATTGTAATTTAAACTTTCATAAGCAATCCCCCTTAATTCCTCCTTTTCCCTAATAATTCCCTCTTAGATTTTGAATTAAAATTAGATTTCTTGCCCTAAATAATTCTCTCTCGAATGTAATTAAATTTTTTTCAAAATAATTCTCCTTTGATTACGAACCTTCCTAAATAGTTCCCTCTAAGCAGGAAACTTCTTAATTCCCTCCCAATCAAATCATCCAATCTATCAATACTCCCCTCCCAAAGTGCCACCTTGTCCTCAAGGTGGAACGAAAGAAATTGTTGTTGAAGCACTGGACTAATAGCACTACACTAAAAAATAGATTGTCACTAGATCGAGTGATTCCTGCCTCAAGCATCTTCTTGATCAATCTCTTCATCTCATCCTTCTAAAGTTGGGGAGAATGGTACAGACGAACATTAATATGTGAGACTCCGCCCTTCCAAAAGATAGCATGCTTGTGTTTCCGTGGAGGAAGCAACCCATGAACTTGCTGGAACACTTCTTGATATTCATGTAAGAGTGGCTGAACCATGTCTGGTGCTTCTATCTTCTCTCCATCTTTTTTTTCTTCCAAACTCTGCAGTTCCACCAAAAATCTTACTCCTTCACCATTTCCCCTTGATGCGGACATCGATACGAAGATTTGGCACATCTATCACAGGAGGCGTCGTAAATCGACGGCTATAATTTAAATATTCAATTATGAGTTATTTTTTTGAATTTTAGTTCTTATTTGATGTATTTCCTGTTTTACCTCTAGGTTGGTTTATGTGAGTGTTGTGGCCCAAGGGGCAATTTTGTATTTTGAGTTTTCTTATGTTGTGGCCTATATATAGGGCCTTAAGCTATTGTAATAGGGATGGATTATTGATATTAAAAATTTGTGTTCACACTTGTGTTCTTTTGAGAGGACGATAATGAGATTCCTATGGGAAGAAATCAGAGTTTTCACCGGCCGCAGGATGGGTCCGGGCTCATGACTTGAAGTCCATTGGAGAAGGGCAAAGAATCACCCATCAGTCTTCGGAAGAGTCCAAGGCTCGCTGTTTTTATCTTCTATCTTTGTTTTTGTTTTGTTCTTTCTTATTTCCTAGCCGTCGTCGTCATCCTCTACCTACATCCACCATCGTCGTCTCCATTTCTGCCATAAACCGTCGGCCATGGCTCCCTAGCCGCCGACCTCATCCCCACTTCTCCGTCTCCTTGAAATTTCCTAATTAGGTTGATGATTTAATAGGGATGATCAAAGATTTCAAATCCGTTTGAATTTGAATTCGAAATCTTTCTTAATTTGATTGTTTTATTTTAGGAAAGTATTCGAATGACATCCTTTTGAATATTTTAGTCCTTGGGATTTTAATTTGAAACTTTCCTAATCCCAAAACCTAAATTAGGAAGGCCAAATTGACTCCACAAGTTGCTCCCCCATCTTATGCTATCCGCCGGCCTCAGCCTTTTCTCCTCTCTCCTTGGATTTCCTAATTTGGGGTGCATGATAATAGGATTTAATTTGAAATTCAAATTGTTTAAAATTTGAAATTCAAATTTCTTTCCTAATTTAGTTTACCTATTCTGGAAAGTGCTTAATTGAAATCAATTTGAATTTTAAATTCAAATTGGATTTGATTTAATACTTTCCAAATTCGCAAAACTAAATTAGGAGCCTTAATTCTCCCCATTAATTTCTCCCTAGCCTATGCCTGTCGCCGGTCCCCTCTATTAAATCCACTTGGATTTATTACTGTCGGCCCTCTTCAATAGCCCAGCAATTTCCATTTAATTGTTTCCTAATTCTAAGTCCCTCCTTTGGAAATAATTACAATTCCTGTAACTCTTACCTGGCCGAAATTCTCATTCATCTAGACTATTTCCTAATACTAGAGGTTGGATTTAGGAAACATGAGCTCACCCCCTCTCAATCCCGCCGATTCTCTCTCCCTGTCCCCGCCCCTATTCACTCCTAATTGCATTAGTTAAGCTCTCTCTCCCAAAACCTGTAAAGGGAGTTTTTTCTCAGCTTTCTATTCACAACCAAGGCTAGACTCCTCCTCAAGCTCTCTACGTCCTAGCCCACTAAAATCTGAGAACTCCTCTCAGAATCTTTTTTTTTTTGTTGAAAATCTGAAATTGTTACCAAGATTATAGGAGAGGAGGTTTGGAGCTTGCAACCTCTCTCCTACCAAGAGAAAATCTGATATTCTTCTAAGGTTTTGGGCAAAGAAGTCAGAATTTCTTGTAGATTTTAGAGAAGAGATCCTCTCCCTAGCAAAGCCTCCTACCCGTTCTACATCACCCCTCCTTGGAAGTGATTCCAAAGAAGGCATCTCCTCTTCTTCCCCAAAAAATTTCACCTCCTGGTTCTCCCTCATTATCCTTATATTAGGGTTTTTCCCATTTTCTTGTTCGGTCAATGATGCTCTCACCTCCGATGCAGTCGGTTTGGTTTGGCCCTCAAGAAGCTTCTTTATCATCTCCTCTATGATGGCAAATTTCTCATTAATCTTCTCATGAATGACCTAAAGTCTTTTCCACAAAATCAAATTTTAATTGTCTGATCTCCCTTTTCAACACTTCTACATTTTTTCCCGCCATAGGTACCCGGATCTAGGCTTTGATACCAATTTGATAGGAAGTTGAAGCACTTTTTTCTCGAAATCAGCAAATGACAATAAGAAATTATGAAGAAAAACACACCAAAATTATTTTTATTATAAGATATATGAAAGAAAATAGCAAGATACAATTGGATCTTCAATTCGAGAGAAAGATTCAGCTCTCCCAAATCCCTAGCTTCCGGCTAGAGCCCAAATAACATACGAAATTCTAATTTCAGCAGAATCCAAACATAATCTAAAACCATCCCATAGTTAGCCTTAAATAGGCTCCGATAATTCCCTCTCAAATCAGCCCCCTTTCCCTAATAAATCCCTCTCAGATTTGAATTCAAATTAGATTTATTTTCATAATTAATTCCCTCCCGATTGTAATTAAAACTTTCCTCAACAATCCCCCTTAATTCCTCATTTTCCCTAAATAATTCCCTCTTAGATTTTGAATTCAAATTATATCACTTGCCCTAAATAATTCCCTCCCAAATGTAATTAAAAATTTTCTTAAACAATTCCCCTTTGGTTAAGAACCTTCCTAAATAGTTCCCCTCTTAATTAGGAAACTTCCTAATTTCCTCGCAATCAAATCGGCCGGTCTATCAGAATCATATGTAATTTTTGGAGAATAAATAGCATTCCAGATATTTTTCTAAGGATATGCACAGCACATATGTCATAAAGAATGCATGTAAAAATTATATGTATTAAAAACAGCCACAAGTATCAGAAAAAGGGAGCAAACTTATACTCATGCTCATAAATTATACCGTGTTACGTTTTGACATGGTCCTGGTAAGCTGGGCAGCCACACCAAAATCACCTGACCATAGAATCAAATAAATGTTCGATCAGCATGCATGTCATTCAACGTATGCTAAGGAAAATAAATAACAGAGGCGAAACTTGGCATACCAAGTCAACTGGAAAAGTTGAAAGCCAAATAAAAACTTAAATCACTAATGATGGAATGACGCGGTGCTCACCCAACTTTACCTCTCCCTGTTCAGTAAGTAATATGTTCCCCCCCTTAATGTCTCTATGGACCTTAAAAATCGAGTGCAAGTAAGCAAGGCCCTGCCATCATGTAGAAGTGAACATATATTTGAAGAACGTCTAAGAAAAACTTTTAGGTATCTATAAAAGAATAAGAAGCATGCGAATACATCAACAAAACAAAGAAAAGGGAAAAAATTAATACGAATGACATATAATTGCCACACTGGAGTATGAGCAGCCAAAATGAAATGCAAAAAAGGATTTACTGTTGCAATCAAACATGGAATAACAATTTAATTCAATGCAATCTATACATGATATAAGCCATAATTACAGCTTAGAGTACGAGCTATAAACTGAAGGAGATTTGTTTCACTGCTTGACATATTCATGTTTTACTAACTAAAAAAAGGCTAATATCACACCCTTTTTGGTCATTAATTTGATGGGACAATCATTGCTTCACTTCTTCAGATTCTAGTAAGCATGTCCAATATCATTCCTTTGGGACATTAATTTCATGGAATGGCACTTTAAAAGCACTCGTCTTCTCCTTATCCCAATTATAAATGCTCATTTTTCATTCATTCTTACCTAAAGCTACTTGAGCGATTAAACCTATTCTTTGGAAATTATTTTGTACAACTTTTATCCATGTTACAAAAAATAATTAAAAAAAAAAAAACTTCTATCCATGTTACCTTATCTTCAATACATATTACGCCAATTGTTCCTATAAAGACTATAGATTTGTAATATTTCATATAAATTTATAAAATTATTTTATACTTAAATCGTTTATAGAACTATTTCATGTTTTTTTAAGAAGAAAAAATACAAAATGATAAAAAAGATAAACATAATATTTTTACAATATTTATATTATATATTAAAGGATGTAGAGTAAGACACATGCGGATTTACCAATGTCATGCTCTGGCAAACTATTGCTTTAGGAACTGTAATGAAACACTACCCTAGCAAGTGTCTATTCAAGTCACCTTGCTGGCTTTCTCCACTCAAGCTCACCTTTCCCCTTCTTCTCTTTGAGATTGAAGGTCCCCTCCCCTCCCCTCCCTATCTTTCACTTCGCTAGGAAGAATGCTTAAAGCAATACTCATTAAAATAGCACATAAATCCCATCTTACTAGTACCTTTCACCATCAAGGCTTGTCCCATGCATTGATGGCCTCTCCTTAGCCCCTTCTCAAAGAGGTATGCAGTGTCCGATACATATCGGACAAGACACTCATCCCATATACCTCCGACACGTGTAGGAGATGCCGAAGGCATTTTTGATTAAAAAAATATTAAAAATAAATTGGACACATGTGTCCAACATACGTGTCTTAAATATTTTATAAATTTTTTAAATATAATTTCTTATACTTCAAATTTTTATTTATTAAAAAAAATAAAAACTATTTTTTTCCTCTTCACAACTCCAAATCAATTGCTCATACTCAATATCTCATTCCCCTAAACATTCTCATTTTCATTTCTCTATAGCGGGTTACGACTAAGGTTTCACAACACCACACGATGCTATCTTAATATCAATATCCGATGTCATCATAACATTAATATTTTAAAATCATCTAAATATCAAAGTATGATGTCTTTATATTGATGCTTGATGCTAACAATTTCTACACCCACAATCATGCCCCTACGCCGTCTCAACATCTCATCTTTGTCCAACGTCATCTCAACATTAATGATTGATGTCATCCCAACATAGAGGGCCAACACTGCCTCGACATCAATGTCTATTGCCATTGTCCATTGCACAACATCAATGTTCGACTCTCGATAGCATTTTCGTCTCCCCTCTCGATGCCTAACATGACATCCACACCTGAATCTCGACATCCTAATATTATTTATTTTAAGCACAAATCCTAGTGAAATGACTTAATAATTCTCATTTATTCTTAATATTATGCTTATTCAATTTCTATATACTATTTGTAGTACAAAAATTATAATATTGACCCGTATATTTGTCCTAGATTTTTAATAATTGACATATCTCGTGTCTATGTCGTGTCCATGTTTGTGCATCATAGATTTTGCCCCACTTACCAAACCTTAAATTGGGTATCCCCAAAACAATTTTGGAAACCTGATCACTGTCCCCAACTGTCCAACACCCTAAGTCTCCACCTAGAAACATATCATCACCTGACAACTGAAAAAACCTACTCAAGAAGTATCTTCCTATTACCAGTGGGTTTGATCTGCATTTTTTGAAAACCCTGAAGGAGTATCCTCCTGCTGTAATGAAATTGCTTCTGATACAGAAATTAAAATTTGTATATGCTTGCCTCGGTTAAAAGGTAACATCGATCTTACAATGGCTCTCTGCGTTATCTGCGTTATCTAATTACCAGTGGATAAAAGGTAACCTAAACCTTCTTACAATTAATGAAGGCTTACTCGTGTTCTGATTTAATTGTGCCAAAGATTATGAGGTGTTTTGGTCTGACACCCTTGGTTCATCAGCAGCAAGGCATTTATTTTGCAAAAATGGTTGTCTAGTTTTAAATCATGAAAGGAAGCATTCGCTTCAATCTTGATCAGGCTAAAGTTCTCAGATTTATCCTTCTTTGCTGGAATCTTATGGGTAATCTACAAGACAAATAGTAAAGTCTACTATTTTCTAAAATTAGTGTTCATATCTCTTCTGGTTCTTCACCTTTTTATCAATCTTAATGAGAAGAAACTTCAACATGTGGTTTGTGATATTGGAGGTGTGCTCCTCTTGCAATACTTTCAGTCATAATAACACTAACTGCCCTCATATCATCTTTAATGCTACACAACCTAACCTGCTTACTCATTTAACTCGAGGCAGGACTAAAGTTAGAAGAAAGGATAATCAAAGCTCAGCTTCCCCCAACATATCTTCCAACCACAATCAGCCCCACTCCACAGACATCTCACGTCTTCACCAACCATTCATACTGGTACTTTCTTAACATTGGTCCTAATTCAGGAGTTACCCCCTACTTGATGCAAGCAAAAATTTGGGAGAGGGACCCAAATTTTTGCTAACAAAAGAATACTCTTCCTATAAATTAGAAGATAACAAAAGATACACAAAATACTACAAAAAAATACAAAATACTAAAAAGACACCTTTTATATCATAAAGAATCTTACAAGACGCTTACAAACTTTGACACTTACAAACACAAACACCTTACAAGACACTTAGAAAAGGACTTACAAACTTAAGAAATAAAACAAACACCTAAAGAAGCTTTGCCTTGAGAAGAAGGATACATATGGAATGGCACTAGTTGAGAGAAGAAAGAGGTTAGAAGACTAGACGAAGAAAGGACAAACTCGCAAGCTTTCCTAAAAGGAGAAGGGTTGGAACAAGTTCGCAAGCTTTTCCAAAGAAGGAAGAAAAACCCTCAGGTTTTTTGCTCCAAAAATCTCATCATAAACTCTTTTTTTAAGCCTCAAAACATCTCCTATTTATAAAAGAAAAGGACAGCCAAACCGCCACCCAAATTAGGGAATATGGAAGACCAAAAGACACCAAATAGAAGGCTAAAAGACAGCAAACGGAAAGCCAAAAGACAGCAAATCTGCTGTAGGAAAATTGCACAGAAAACAGAGAAAATCTCATGGAATTCCCCCCCCCCAACAGCCACCAAACAGCAGCCCCCATACGGTACAGGAAACAGAGAAGAGAAGCCACGGAAACCAAGCAGCCAACCACGGGAACCAAAGGGCCAAGGCACGGGAACCAGCCAGCAAGCCACGGGAACCAAACAGCCATCCACGGGAACCAAAGGGCCAAGGCACGGGAACCAGCCAGCCAGCCACGGGAACCAAACAGCCATCCACAGGAACCAAAGGGCCAAGGCACGGGAACCAGCCAGCAAAGGAAACCGAGAAGACAGAGGAAACCGAGAGGAAATATAGGGAAGAGAAAGGGTTAAGTTCCACCATAATGAGCTACCTTTTTACTTCAATAAATGAACTAAAAAAATAGCTCATGATGAGCTAAATTTCAGCTAAAAATATTAATGAGCTAGCAAACCCAAGAGCAGCAAAAACTAAAATTTAGGATTTGATTTGACCCCCCCACCCCTCTTGCCTACATCACTACTTCAACTTCTTCTATAACATCTCTCTCCATTCCCAACTTTTCTTCCTCAATGTCAATAACCTCTAACCTATCAGCCTCCACTTGTAGCCCTTTCATTCCTACTTCTATACAGGGCTTTAATAACCCCACTCCTCTGCATAACTTCATTAATTTTGCTACAAAATTGTTGTAAGATGATGAGTATTTGGAACTTGCTTCACCACAAATATTACATTTGCTCTTGGATAAAAATATGATTTTTCCAACTATTTACTGATGCTTGGCTCAATGATTACACCATGAAGGAGCTGTTTTGCTTGTTATTCCCTTTTTAATCTCCCCATCAGTCTGCCCTCTGCGATCATATCTGAGGGATTTGATTTTTGTCCTCTTTACCCTCTCAGTTACTCCTAACATTGCTAATAATATTTGTCAAATTCATATTTAAAAGGATACAATTCATTGGAATAAACACTCTATTTCACTTTGTCTACTGTTAACATATTGTGTCTGGTTCAAAGATCTCACTCTCTTAGATGCTCTTTTTACACCTGGATGGTCGGCTTCTCTCCAAGGCCTTAAAACTGCTAAAACTTTGGTGGCTATGGGATTCAATTGCAATTCCCTTTGTAGATTGAGCAAGGGCAACCGAGAAAATCATAATAATTTGTTCTGTTCAGTCCATTCTCCATGAAACTTCATTCATTCTTCTATGGAGGAAGGAGCCCACTTCATCTTTGATCTGACCCATCACCAGGTGTTGGATTTCAATTTCCCTTTCTCTATTCCTTGCAGGGAAAAGCTCTACTTACCACATTGCTTGCCTACAGCATATGTACAAATTAAAAAAAAAAATAGAAACATAATTTTTAAGTGCTAGGCGTGGTGATGGAACATGAGGCCTCTGCAATGGTCATCTTCTTGTTGAAGTGTTACTTTCGGAATTTTTTTATGTGGTGCATAACGGCCAGTTTTTCAATGTTCTTCTCTATCGAATTTGCTTGATGAAACGCATGTTTGAAAGCATGATCTCTTTTCCCCCTCAACTTGGTGTTGCTGGGTCCTCAGTCTTCCGATGGATACCATCGGCTGAGGTTTCTGCTTTCCACTCCTAGGAACTTGCTGAGTCTGGTTCTTGAGAATACTGTGCCTATAATGTCGGTTAGCCTTTACAGTCTTAAATCTAAGAATATATGGCTTCCTTTTCAACTGTAAGGGGCTTCTACAACTCTAAAAATTAATTTGCTCGTTTTTATAAGCCTTGGACGAATGTGCTTTACCATGCTTGGCTTTCCCAAGAATTTTGTTGGGTTAATCTTGATGCACTCTCTACATCTTTTGATCCCGGTCCATCAAGCTTCTCTTGTTTCCTTTTACTTCTTAGCCCTGGTTGATTATAACTATTCTCTGAATTTTTTTGGCTGTTCTAGGTTTCATTTCCTTGTCCCCATATGCATTTATGGCTTTTATAACATCTCTCTTATTCAATATACCTGAGCTTCGGCCCTCAATTTTTCCACAGAGAGAGAGAGAGAGAGACTGTGCGTGAAAGTAAAAGGGTCATAAAAATGCTCCGTCCAAATTGTTCTCTCCTTTTTTTTAAATTAAAAAATAAGTCAAAAAATTAAAGAGAATACAAAATCAAAATGAAGCCAAAGAATAATGGCTACTCAACTGTGCTAGAACTAATAAAATATTTTTAAATTATTTTTAGAAGAGTAATATTAAAACTTAAAAGACATCATTTGCATAGCCTTTCCAAAACATTTTCTTTTTTTGGTGGCATATCATTTTGATATCAAAAGCATGGCATAAAATCCTACACTTGCATATGTTTGCTCAAGAAAAATAGTGTTTCGGCATGAATCCTACACTTGCATTACTTCATTTAGAAGTTTCTCAAAACAGTAGGTCTTACTAGTTCTCTTGGAAGTTGTATGTTAATTTGTAAGAGTTAGGACTGACGGCTTCCCTTGGAAATAACATGATTGTTTGATTAGATAGGTCTTACGGCTTCTCCTAGAAGTTACATGTATGTTTGCTTGGACGAGTCTTACGACTTTCCTAAGAAGTTGCCTATAATTTTTTTTGGATATGTCTTACGACTTCCCTTAAAAGTTGTCTGTTAATTTTGTTTGGATAGGTCTTATGACTTTTATTAAAAGTTACCTGATTGTTTTGATTTGAACAAGTCTTATTAATTCCCTTAGAAGTTGCCCAGAGGTTTTTGTTAGAAATAGAACTTATTGCATCTTTTAAAAGTTGCCTATAGGTTTTATTTGGAATAGATCTTACGTCTTCCATTGGAAGTATCCTTTTTGATTTGATAGATCTTACAACTTCCCCTAGAAGTTTCCTGTATGTCTAAATTTTGGAAAAGACTTGCGGCTTTCATTGAAAGTAGCCTTGCAATTGAATTAGGGTTTTTTTACTTCCCTTGGAAGCCTTCCCAGTGAATTAGTTTGAATAGGATTTACTTCTTCACTTAGAAGCCACCTATTAGGTTTGTCCTAGGGTGGTTTTAGCAGCAGATGCTTAGTTTCGCACACTTACTACCATAACGCTAGTGTTTTTACTTTAGGACTATTGTTTCATGTTTCAGTCATTTTGTTACTTAAAGCCAAGTTGTTACTTGAAGCCAAACATTCATGTTGCAAAATTATGCAGCCCTACAGCCTTTACATGAATGATTATGCTGGAGAGATAGTATACAAGAATTTTCCTAGTCACTCAGAAAACTTAACAAAAAAATCTAATAAATCTTATAATCCCGGAAAGAATGCTTACAGCTCTGGTTGCTGGATTATGAAACAAGCACGGCAAGTTGTAAGGACGGAAAAGTAAAACAGCTGCATTTAATCATGCAAAACGAGCTAAATATGCAGAAAGAAAAATCTAACGGCTACTTATAACAATTTAAAATGTAAGTTACTTACAACTTGCTTAAAACTAACTGAAAAGTATTATACATAGATCAATATTTCTAAGATAAATACAACTTGTATGCTCATAAATACCTTTAATGCCTCCCTGCATATGTATGCAATTTGGGCTTCATTCAGAGGCTCCTCTATAACGTTCATCAAATCAGAAACGCTTCCGCCACCACAGTACTCCATTACTATCTGCAAGAAAAATACAAGAACATACACTACTAAGCATATAAACAGATATAAATACCGTCAGAATGTTGCTCAAGTAATCTACATAAACTGGGTGCACTTGAGCATTCAAGAGTCAAGACACACCAAGCTGAACTAAGGATTGGGTTTCAAGTAGTGTTTTTAAGGCACTACGTGCAATGCAATGCGCATGGATTATTTTTTGCTTCAATTCACAAAGCGCAAAGAGAAGAGGAACTTTTACGAACTAGAGTGTTCATAAGTTCTATATCATATACAAATATATTACATACATACAAATAGTTATTTAATTAATCAAGCTTAAAACACATCAGGAAATAATTTTTAACAAATACAATGATACCTTCAATAACAATAATCTATAGTTATTTGAAATATAAAAAAAAAGATCAAAGATTAAAATAATGAAGTGATGTAAGAATACAAACAACAACAACATCAAGCATTTATCCCACTACGTGGGGTCGGCAACATGAATCCTTTTTCTCCATTGTGTCCAATTAAAAGTCAAATTCTCGTTTAAATCTAATAAAGAATGTCATTCCTAATATTTTTAAGCCAAGTCTTTTTAGGTCTACCCCTACCTTTCTTAACATAAGTCAAATCTAATACATCTACTCTCCTAACCGGGTCAAAGGCCGCCGTTTTATGTGACCAAACCATCAAAGGCGACTCTCTCTAATCTTATCTTCTACTGGAGCTACTCCAACCTTTTGATGTAGACAAAGGGGGGGTCAACACTAGTCCAAAATAAATCATATTTTGGCTTCCCTTGAGTCTAGTAGTTCATCATATTTGAGCTAAACTTTTAGTTCATTTATGAGCTGAACTTTAGTTCATTTATTGAACTAAGGGTTAGCTCATTATGAACTAACAATTTTAGTTCATATTTATCTTTATTTAAATGCACTTTTATTATAGTTTTTAATGTCTTAAAAGTTGTCTCTTGGATTTCCAAAATATGGCTTTTGGGAATCCAAGATTGTTGTTTAGTCTTCCCATGTGTGGCTCCTTGAATTCCACCATGGGAAGTTGAATTATGTGCTTTACCTCTTAGGATCTCACGGCTGGCTCCTTGTTCCGTGTCCGCCCCTCGTTTCCCGCGGCTGTGGCTCTTTGTCAGTGCGGTTCCCTTCGTCTCCCGTGGCTGTCTCCTTGGTTCCTGGTTTGGGTGTAAACCGAGAGCTTGGGGGGAAGTTTTCTATGCTATTTAATGTTTAGTTTTAAGTGTTAAATTAATGTTTGTGTCCTTTTGTATTCCCCTTTCATACCTATAAATATGAGGGGTTATGTAATGTTTTGAATAGTTGAATGATATTTGATTTTTGGAAAA